CACACCACACACACACACACACACACACACACACACACACACACACACACATATATATATATATATATATATATATTATATATATATATATATATATATATATATATATACCCATTAAGAGAACATTACGAGATAAGGCAAAGGCATCCAAAGAGATTAGAAACATCAATATTAAAAAAAAAAAACAAATAAAACAGAAAATTAGGGCGAAATATTGAAAAAAAAAAACACAGAACCAAAACTAACAAGAACGAAACCGGCTTGGGGCGAGCCGAGGCGACCGGCGCCGTGACCTTTTCTCCTGACCTTTGGGAGCCTCGTCTCCGGAATGTGGAGTCTGGAGTGACTCACCGAGTGCGAAGCGATCTCGGTGAGTCACTCCCGTTTCGGGGGAAGACATTCTTTTTACAATAGGGTTAAAATGTAATAAATTAAAAAAGAAAAGGCTACCGAGGCTGAATTTAGGTCGTTTTCTATTTGTTTCTGTCGCCATTAAGAGTGACAACTTTGCAATCATTTTTTTTCCTTTATCATGCATAGAAGGCAGTGCGCGCAATATATATATATATATATATATATATATATATATAATATATATATATATATATATATATATATATATATATATATATATTTTTTTTTTTTTTTTTTTTTTTTTTTTTTTAGTTACCCCCTCTAACGACACATTTTTTCTAACGGGCAGAAAATCGGAATTTAATTCATAACAGAAATAAGCGAGGATCAAATTTTTCTTATAATACAGCGATGACAGTTAGATACACAATAATATATTAGATGATTTTTAGACAGTGATATACTAACGAGGACCAGGATAGAGCGAGGGTATGATGCACTATAATATACTTTACGTGATAATAACACAACAACCTTACGATGTATCATTATCTGACATAATTAATAGACAGGCTATAATTCACTGCCTGTTTCTTCATCACGTCGACCTTGTGTCTTCCTGTCTTGCCAAACCTCGTGAATTACCCATATCTGCGCAAGACATGGCAAACAAAGTAGCCACGGCAAGCGCATATGTTTTTTTTTTTTTTTTATCGATTATTGTCCTTCTCACTTTTTTTTTTTTTTTTTTTTTTTTTTTTTTTTTTTTTAATTGCACCACTTCGTCTGGATAACATTTTATATCAGAATGATGAATCTTGGATTGCATATTCATATACACAGTATCACACACACTGACACAAGACATCGCATATACACATACATACATATGGACAAATATGAATAAGCTCATCTATCTATCTATATTTATCTGTCTATATATACTTATCTATCTATTCTCAATCTATATATATATGTATCTAAATCTACATCTCATCTGTCTATACACACACACATACACACGCAGATAGAGAAAGAGAGAGAGAGAGAGATTGATGGAAAGATAGAGATAAAGAGATATAAATAAACAAACATATAAAGGCATATATATAGACAGATAGATGAGAAGAGATATATAAAATAGATAGATAGAACGATATATAGACAGAACGATAGATTGACAGAGAAAAATGGATAGATAGAAAAATATGGATAGATCGATAGTAAAATATATACATAGATCAGTAAATAGATAAATACAGACAGATAAATAGATAGAGAGAGAGAGAAGGGAGGAAAAGAAACTTACGCCGCAAAAATCAAACATCCAGTTGAACATGTCTCCTTTCGAGTGTATACTGGAAGGAAGTAATCGATACCGAAGCCATTACACAGCTTTCGGACGATCGACCATTGTTAATGCATCGGACGTACGACGATTCCCATGGATTATGCATGGCTTGGGTTTCGTGCGATCCATAGCGACGATTTCCCGTACTGAGCGAATAATTTCCATTCTGGTTCATCGGCGCCCGGTAGAAGGCCGTTCAGCAAGTGACGTAACGTGGTAATTGGGGAACAGAGGAGCGGCGATAACAACATGAATACGAGAGTGAGTGATGGATGGAAATGATAAGTGGGCGCCTTTTCGGAGCATGGCATAGGCATAAAAAAAGAAGAAGAAGAAAAAAAAAAAAACAGTGAGGGAGAGATAGTGTAGTTCATATTTTATTCTGTTTTAATCTTATTATCTTCTTTGTGTGGAAGAGAGATAGGGAGCCAGAGAGAGGGAGAGAGAGAGAGAGAGAGAGAGGAGAGAAGAGAGGAGGCAGAGAGAGGGAGGCAGAGAGAGGGAGGCAGAGAGAGAGAGAGAGAGGAGGCAGAGAGAGAGGCAGAGAGAGGGAGGCAGAGAGAGAGAGAGAGAGAGAGAGAGAGAGAAGAGAGAGAGAGAGAGAGAGAGAGAGAGAGAGAGAGAGAGAGAGAGAGAGAGAGAGAGAGAATGAGACTGAAACAAACAATGGGGCAGATACATGTACAGATAGACAAACAGACAGACGGACGATAGAAGCATAAACAAACCAGACAAGACAAACAGACAAACAGATAAACAGACACAGACACAAACAGAAACCCCTATTTTTGCAAA